ACCTTGCCACATGCTACTGATGAGGATAGGTATAGAATCTACAGTGAGACACAATCTATAATGAAAAATAAGGTGCAAGTACCTGCTTGACCCTTAGTGCTTCTGAAACAAGACTGCGACCTAAACCAGTGGTTCATTCAGTAATTCTAAGTAAAGGGGCCCTAGGGAGGGAATTTTACAGAGGGTCCAGACTACAGTACCTTAGTCCCTTTTTTCAAATGTCTAAATATTTAGGTGAGAGGGTGGGGGAGGGTTGGTGGGAAGAGCGAGGTTTTTAAAGTAAAGATACATTACATCAGATTATAATAGATGTTTCCTAGTATACACTTTAAGAAATATAATAAACAATCACTGACAAAGTATGTTGGCACGAGTAATGTTAGGAATTTACCGCACTTCATTTCTTTATTTTTCTTTTTCTCACTGTATTATTTTTCCATCTTCCATTTTGTTGTTTACTTCTTTCAGGAATTCTGTCGTTTTGATGACTATAACTGGGATTGGACATTGCAACATATAAGTACTGCTTGTCTTAAGCCTCCCATTGGAGTAATGGTTCCGAAATCACCTAGGATATTCCATATAGGAGAATGGTAGGTACACGTCTATGTTGTTATTTTGTAATAGATGAAAGAAGAATGGTAACAATAATGAATATAATGATGATGAAAACAGATAAATATGAATAGGAATAAATGGGAAAAAATAATGTTAAAACTTCTTCAATTTAGTGCAATAAATATTTATTCATACTAATTTATGACTATGGTGAACATAATGATGGTGATAACGATGATGACTGTATATTAACTTACAGCACTCTAATACCAGCACATTTAGACCTTGAATTGCTTTAATTTTTAGCTACTTTCAAAACAGAACAAATGTACCTGATACAATGTGATGAAGCTCTGAAAACATACCGATTCGCACAAGACAATTTGTTACATTCTTTGGTTCAATTTGCTACGCATTATATTTTGCTTAACTAAAGGAAAAATATAAGAAAGATAGAGATTGAAAAATGAAAGTGAAAGGAACATACAGTATGTAGTAACGATGTATAAAAGAACTTTGATTTGTGGAAAGATGAGGAATATGGTAAAATAAAAGAAATGCAAAGAAAGTTTTAAAAAAACACAATGTAGGAAAGGAAACTGGTATCACTGTAGACTGAAGTTTAATTAATAATTACTGACCAAATCACCTTATACTGTATAATAAACTTGAGTTAAATAAATCATAAACATTACAGAAAAAAAATCAACAGTAAATAGCATTAACAGATTTAAAATACTAGAGATATGCTCCAGAGGACATCGGCTAACTTATTATTATTAGTCGAGGGTGCTAATCCTAACTAGGCGTACAGTATGTCTCAATTCCTTTCCTGGGTCTATCATGCAGTAGCCTTTGGCAAACAATATGAACATAATTTGTTTTTAAAAAATAGATTTTTTGTGTGGAATGAGCTAGACAGACAGTCAAGATACACACAATGTCACAGAGGAAGATAAGCTCCTTTGAGCATGCATGCAGATCTATGCTAAATATCACGGATATATTTACGGGCCTCTGTGATGTCTGTTATTCTGTCTAGATATTAGTGAGAAATTATAGATATCTTACATGGATTCGCCTTTATAAAGAACTAATGTACCCAGGGATGCTTGCCACTTTTTTTTTATTATCATTCCTGTCTTGTGGGAATTCATTATAAAGCTGTTATTTTTTCCTTTAGTTGTATCAAGTGAAATGTTCTGTTTTGAATGTACCATGTGTCAAAAATCAATTGATCACGGATTTTACAGTAGATGTTATGTTGTAAAAACCTATATTGGCTAAGCTTTGTCCGCCTCATCATTATCATTACCATTATGTTTGTCATGTTCACAATCAATCAAAAATCTTTATTGCAATCAATTAAGTTTAACATGAAATTATTTTTCCATTATTTCTATTATAAAGATGCTTTTTTAACCCTTTCCAGTCGTATGGTGTCGCGACGACGCCTTCTTTGACCGTACTTTATACAGTAGTGAGGGATGTCGTACAGTACGTATGCCCTGTATAGGTTTTCTGATAATTTGTTTTATAGCTATGCTGCCCTCTATATAATTGTTTGAGAGTGATGTAGGAGATTTTTCTGAAGAGGGCCTCCCGTATTAAGACCAAATAAGATGGCTGGTAAAAACCTGACATTTAGTGTAAATGATGTAATTTCTCAGCTTTGGTATAACTTCAGGCAATGGTAAGGGGCAAACTTTGAAGGGTTAAGTATATTTTTTAGGAACACAATAACATTGTTACAAATTCTTCTTTTATCTGTTTTCATTGTTTTCATATTTAACACTCCACAAGTATGTTAAGCCTCGTTCAGTGCCTTACTCAGACTAGGAATTATATAGTCAGCTAAACTGGTGGTGGCGGATTTAGGGGGGAGGGGCTGGGCCGGCCACGGTCCCCCCTCCTTTTTGAAAAGTAAAAAAAAAAAAGAAAAAAGAAAGAAAAAGAAGGAATTTGATCGTTAAAAAGGCCTCAGAGGTTATTTTCGGGCATCTAGAAAACCAAAATTTCGTGCTGAGTCACTCTGTGTGTTAAACCGTGGAGATTAAATATCCACCTTCACTGCTCTCCTTGTGTTTCAGCTGGGAGGGGGTGGGGGGACTGAAACACAAGTATAAAAAAGCACACTGTCTTAAAGAAGATTAAGCCATTTGTCCCATCTATGCGCAATACGGCCCATGTGCATGTTTAAGGGTGTAGTTTACCTTTCGGAAAAGGGAAGGGGATTATCTCCCAGTGTACTGTCCAATCACCACCAGAAAGACCCACTACTGGAAATAAGTATCCAGACTTTTGTGAGTTATCCTTCTTTTCACACCATGCACAAAATAATTCAATCCAATTAAATTATTGTTGTTTTATTTGCATGTATGATGTTTCTAAAATCTTTTCTACATTTCAGTGGTATACATCACAAGGGAAAATGCAACGCTGATGATCTTGTAAAAAAGATTAACAACATTCTGACAACAAACAGCGAGTTCTTATTCCCAGATAATTTACAAATGACACCAAAGACGAGACCGATTCGTAGTAGGGAACCAAAAGCAAACGGTGGCTGGGGCGATATACGAGACCATACGTTGTGTATCACATATGGCAGGACTCAATCATGATGTAGAATTTCAAGAAAGTGCGCTATAACTGAACTTTTGAATTGAGAAAATTGTGCTGTACCAAGTTGCACGAATAGTTATGATCAACCGGCTTTTTGTTTTTAGGATTTCCTCTCGTCTCTTAGGTTCTTCTACACCTTGGGGCTTGCCATTCCTTCTACACTGTTGGGTTCTTCATTCCTTAGTGCCTAGGCCCTTAACCTTTTTGATCTACTGACCCTCATGGTTAGTATTGACAATGTTTCTGATACCACCCTTCCCCATCCCATTGGTAAAACATAGTTTCCATTTTTTAGATATTGTAAATGCAAGATTATCTTTATGATGTAGTTCTACCTAAGTTTGCTTACCTCTCAGCCCCAACCAAGATAAACTATTGGGCCTATCATGGTTGTTGAGGCTTATTTGAGCAGGGGTTTGTGTTACTGACCCCTTCATACATTTTACTGTTCCCCTTTCTGACTCCTTGACTATACTGACCCCCCCACTGACCCCGACCCCACCTTGAAGGTGTCTGACATCCCCCAAGGGGTTAGTAGACCTCGTGTTAAGAACCATGACCTTGGGGAATTAATTATACAAAATACAATGGCATTTCATTGTTTCTTTCTTGCTGATGTTAACATCATCCCTTAATTTTCTTTACACCCAGCATTGATACTCTTCCTTCAGGGTTGCCCCACACCCTGATCAAGGTATACGTTCAACCTAGGTTTCAAATGCAACCATGGTTACCGCCATTCCAGGGTACTACCTCATCTCAAAATTCCTCTTATCGCAAGGTTCTGCTTACCTCTTGGTTCCCCCAATTTCAAATCTAGTTTAACTTTAAGTTCACCTCATACTTGTAGTATGATCTATTTTGAAAATGCTATAATTATCCTTAGCAAAATATGTAGGGAACAGTAAATGATGTCATTTGGTGTACTGTATAGTTTAATTTCTACAGGTCATTTGGAGAATAGTGTGTCTTGAAATATTAACTTTCAAGTATTGTATTCTCTTTGGTATAGCAATTTTTCTCAAATTTTTGTGAAGGAAATTTTGTACATGATTGTCAACTTTGCATAATTATACCTTGAATATAATTTAATAGTTAATAATAATAATAATAATTAGCAGCCTGTTTTTAAACGTGTTTTAGAAAAGCGTGTATTTGTAAATATCAAAGTTATTTGGCGTCAAATGTCAAAATATAGGTGTTGGGCAGTTTAATGAATTTGTTGTTATAATTTCATGCCAAACTTTGTAGGGATTTTTCACCTGAATGTAATTCATTTGAATCTGTTTCATATAATATAGGGTTAAAAAATTTTAAAAATTCACTTTTGTTCAACCAAGTATCCTTCTGAAGTGATGTTGTATAGAGTTTATATTGTATTTTCTCTCTCTTGCACATAAAGAAGGTTGTGTGGCTGAAACTTAATTATGTTATATCATAATTTTAATCAGTTTGAAAGATACTAAAATCCATTGCTTTACAATCTGTTCCTTGTATTAGTTGATGAAAGTGTAAAGCATGAACCATTTAATAATTGTTTTATATATTTTTTATACATTTGTTTTGGTACTGGTTGCAAGTTCTTTGACAAATTCTAAAACGTTGGAGTAGAACACTAATTTTGTTTTGTTGGTTGTTTTTGTTGCTGCTGCTGTTGTATAATTATTTTCATGAATTAATTTCTCTTAAGTATACACATTTTACATTGATAACTGTGGTGAGACACTCTGCTCAATGGTTTTGATTGTTTGGTGTTATGGGTTGGCCGTTCTTCTTGAAGTTTATTAATTGTAAACAATTGATAATATAATTATTCAGTGATACAATACTATTGCACAGTCTGGCTCAAACGCTAAAGTAAGAGAGACGGGCAATCCGGTCTGCTTCAAGTTTCGAACCTAACTTTACAATACTATTCATCAGGTTCACCTGCTCGAACACAGCCATAATACCATAATAACACTGAAAGTACTGTACCCTAAATTGGGTTTAGGGCATTTATAGATAGTGCCTTGAAATTGAATCCAAGGACTCAATTTATCATCAGTATATCACATACTGAATGTTTTACTACATAACAAATAGTATTGATCATTATATTTCACTGTTTTATTTCATTTTAGGTATTTTTTGGTATTCTTTTTTTCTAATTTGATGCCATGTTTTGCTTGGTTTTGTTGTCTATATTATCATTTTTTATTTTGAGTGTAGTTCATGGTGTTGTTTTACATTATGGACTATATTATTTCTATTCCAATTCTAGGCACATGGAAAAACAACTTTATCCTGGGTTCAATTCCTGTGACTTTTTCTCATGACTAAAAACAACTCCATATAGAGACTTCGTTGATTAAATCATCACATTATTTCTTTTATTCAAGAGGGCCCCTGATTATCAGCCGACCTTTAAAGCTAGACACTCACTGCATCGCACGACCGTCGCACGACGAATCCACATTTGCTTCAGGCGAGCTATAGACGATGCAACGGCGTCTGCTGATTGTCAGTGGCAATCTGAACGGATCCTCATTAAAAAAGACGATCCGTTGTGTCCGCGTCTTCGCGTGCGTTCTTCGTCGCGTTGGAGTGAGTAACCAGCTTTAGGATACACTAAAAAAGATACCCTTTATAAATGTGGTTTAAAAAAATTAATAATAATTTACCCGATTCATGCGAATAAAACTTTGCTGGTATTTGTCACGAGAACTTGATAGTGTTGATGAAACTTTAATGCTCATTGTCTCTATAAATTGCCACGACCGTTGTGTTCTTCCCTTCTATAAAATTTTCATAAATTTAATATTATTTTCAAATTATCCTCCATTTCCAAAAACCAGGTGGGCTTTTTGCCTCTTCCTTTTGAAATAAAAAATTTTTAAACAATAAAATAAGAGTGATAAGATTATAGTTCAGCCTCTTAAGACACTTCTAATTTGAAACCACTTTTTAAAAGTACACACTAACAATCGTCAATCTTTCCACACAAAGCTTACTCTATAATTGGGGACCGGACCCTGAGACCACCCCAAATTTTTATGACCCAAACATGGTTTCGAATTAGAGGATGCACTGTATAAATTTTTTTTTTTTTATTGCTTTGGGTTGTGATTTAAGTGCAATTTATGTAAAATGCTTATATACAATTTTGAATAAAATATACAATCCACTTTAATATATGCATTATAGTGTCTGGGATTGCTACGCAGTACGATTACGCTGAAAACACTGTAGCGACAGTGTAATGAATTTAGGGAAACCAGACTTAACAATCGATAGAGGCTGCAAGCAATTCACTTTTCTGGCATCCAAAAGAGTTCTTGTACTGCCATATCATGATAAGGGCAAATCACATGTTTTTCACATAAGATGTGATAGTGTACAGACATCTATACGTAGAAATTGGAAATGTGCCCTCATGGAATATTGTGTATTTTTCACTAATGGTACATCATCATGTTATTGGTTGGTTGATTTTCTGGCTCATGATTACCTTCATTTCAGGCCTTCATCATCATCTTCTGGTTCTGTGCATTACCTCTATTAATAGAGTACTCTCACAACTTGGCAGGGCTTATCACCTACATTTGTCTATCCACCCAGGGGTATAAAATGGGTACCTGGTGTAATCAGTGGCAGCGCCAGTGGGGGAGGGCAAGGAACATTCCCCCAACTAAACCTGAAGTAAAATTAGTTGGCAGGGGTTTGGTTAAGCACATCTTTTGATGACAGTTTTTCAAACTTTTGCTTTTCCTCGCCACCCCTGTCCAACTTTTCTGTTTTTGTCGAAAGATTGACTGTTGAAACGACTTGGTCTTTGGATCAAAAATTTAAAAAATAATAATTTGTGTATCCAAATAATGTTATTTTGATTCCCTAATATTGTGATGTAAAAGCACGATTTGGACCATACTAAAGCTATAAAAACTCTTCCAGTCGACCCCTTGGTTCAGACCACTTTGCCAGACATGTCGGACCCCTTGTCGGAAAATTTCTGGCGCCGCTGGGTGTGAAGCTGTGGCATTTAATGTATTGCACTATTGGCATACTAGTTAGATGCCATACTCCCCATAGTGTTGTGAAGGTTACACTTTGAATCCATTCACTAGTGGTAATAACATTCCAAGTGCTTTAAAGTGGAAAATTAATAATTAATAAAAATACTATATATATATATATATATATATACACACCAACAATTACAGACACATGCTTACATACACATGCAGTTCGCCCTCCAATTTAAGACCACCTTTGAGACCTGAAAATTTTGGGTGGTCTCGGGGTTGGGTCTCCACTAAGAGGATTTGTGTAACAGGTTAATGTTTGTTGTTTTGTTCTTTGAAAAAAAAATTTAGGTCTCGAAATTAGTGTGATCTCGGAACTTAAAAGGGTCTATAATTGAGGGCGTACTGTATATGTATGTGCCTATCCTATGGCATGTATACAAACTTATCATGAATAATGGTATAAAAACAATGTGTGCTCATTTTGTAACATTATTTTTAATATATGGTGGAATAGTAGCAATCCCTGTATTTTAACATTGTACAGTAGTTATAATATAGTATTTGCATACAGGTAAGATTTTAATTTATAAGCTCTTCACCCTCTGCTATTTA